ATCTAAATAATAAGTAAATAAATATCTTACCATCATCAATACTTTTTTGATCACCATTTACTTCTTTTGACAAAAACAAAATATCATTAGTGATTACAGTATTTGCTAATCCATCGATCCTTATGAAACGACTTGTTGCCATCATGCCTGGATTAAGAACTCTTCTGGTGTTGGAATTTGTCAAATTTCCTGGTACTTTATCCCATTGCCTTAACATGGAAGAAGGGGGTGGGTTTGATTTTATTGTTATCATATTATTGCTTAATTTACTACGTTCTTTAAGTATACTTGAAAATGAGACGGGTGAAGCTGGTGAAGGGGAAGAGGCGGAAGGAAACAATAAAGATTCTAAGGCTTCTGGTTCTGATTTTGTTTGTTGTTGGTTCTTTTCGCTTTCAGTAGAAATCGTAATTTTTTCATTATCTGGTGACGATGATGGTGGTGGTAATGTTTCATTGGAATTATTGTTGTTAAAGTCGTCTAGTAATTTACTACTATTATATAAATATCTTGAAGTTATTGTTATTGTTTTTTGAAATTTTGAAATTGAAATCGGATGTTTAGATATTGTTGAATTGATGGTTGAAAAATATTTATTAAACATTTTTTCAGAAAAAATTTTTTAAGAGATCAAAGATGAATTGTGAATATTTTCAGCCAATCAAATTACACACATCGTGTAACGAAAGCTTTAATAATACACACCCCAACAAAAAGTATCGACTCAATGATCCGCCAAAATAATCGAATAAACGGGTAATACAAATACTCGTTTTTTTTTACTAAGCAAATCGATGCTGTGTATTAGTAAGAAAATGTTTGTTGAAATGATTAACATGATAATCTAAAATATCACATTCGGCCGATTGTTATTGATAATTATATGATGTTTAAAAGTCAAATTAAAATTTTTTGAAAATTTTTTGAAAAAGTAGCACTTAGAGCTATTTTAAGATATGATGTTTTAACACATCTTGGGAACTTAGAAAATGTTGCTCCATTTAGTCTCAAATGTATATATATACATGTTCATAATTATTGATCGAATATTCATGGAGCATCAATACAAAACGTAAAAATAACAAAAAAAATTTTCATCAACAGTTTGTATGATATTTTTACATAATAAATCTTTATTAAATTTATATCAAAAGTATCAAAAAAGTATAAATATTTCATTAATTTATTCAATATTTTGTTGGTTTCCTTTTGATTCAATTACAGCTTGGACCCTTCAAGGAATGCTGTCTACTAACTTTTGCAAATAATCATGATCAAGATTTACCCATTCATCCATTAAATAAGAAATTAATTCATTTGTATTTTTTTGGGGAGCAATAATAGTTTGATCTTAAATGCTTTTATTGCATGAGTTACTTGTGACTGAGAATGATTGAGTGCACCAGCAATGTCACAAACGCTTTCATCTGCTTCCCAATGTCCAATTATTCAAAGTCTGTTAATTGAGACATGATGTTTTAATTGAAATAACAAATTGAAAGTTCAATCTTTTTTTTTTTAAAAAAAATCTAGTTTTGGTTAGATATTTCAGCCGCAATTGCCCTTTAAAGTTTGTTTGCGCATAATGATAATCATCTTGTATAAAAAATTCATTCCGAATTTTTTTACGTTTTGTATTAATGCTCCATGAATATTCGATCAATAATTATGAATGTGTATATATATATATTTGAGAACAAATGGAGCAACATTTTCTAAGTTTCCAAGATGTGTTAAAACATTGTATCTTAAAATGGCTCTAAGTGCTACTTTTTCAAAAAATTTTCGAAAAATTTTAATTTGACTTTTAAACATCATAAAATTATCAATAACAATTGGTCTGATGTGATATTTTAGAGTGTTATGGTAATCATTTCAACAAATATTTTTTTACTAACACACAACATTGATTTGCTTAGTAAAAAAACGAGTATTTGTATTACCCGTTTATTCGATTATTTCGACAGATCATCAAGTGAGTTGATACTTTTTGTAGGGGTGTGTAGTTAAAAAAGATGCAGCTACCTCCTCAGCAACAATAATTGGAGGAGATTATAATGCAGTCCCTAACCCACAAATAGACAGATTTCCAATTTCTAATATCTCAAGACCAGAATCAAAAATATTCACAGAACTATAGAATAAAGGCTGGAACGATATAGCTAGAACAATTTATCCCCAGAAAGAGATATATACAAGGAAGGAGGGGGGAGCAAAAGCAGAATAGACCAAATATGGACAAATTCAAAAATCAGTCCTCATATTGCAAATTATAAACAAGAAAACGCAACACTTATTACAAATAGTGATCATGATATAATAAAAATCTTAATCACCAATCCAAAACAAACAATACACAATAATAACCCTAAGAATGAGAAGTCTCACCAAAGAATAGTGTTTAATATAAAAGACACATCAACAAAGCAATGGGAGGAATACCAAAAAAAAACTAGACAAAATAATAGACCAAAATACAGTTTATTTAGAAGATCAAAGAAACAACACAGTAGACAATTTATGGAACCTTTATAAAAGAGAACATTAATAATACAGCAAAAAGTACAATACCATGGAAGAAAACGAGAATAAACAAAATATATGAATCAAAAATCTTCAAAAGTACGTGCATAATATACAAGGATATGAAAAAAATTAAAAAAGCAATCAAAATGGTTAAATCATATATCAAAACAAATGGTGAAATAGAAAGTGACATCCAACACATTGAAAGTATAATACAAGAAATAAACAATAATGGGACATTACAAATTACATTAATCACAAAAAAACATAGTTGAGGATATCTCTAGATTAGAAGGATGGTTATCAGAAATTAAACGTAAGGGAAAAGAATTATTTAGAGCATTGAAGAACAAATCAAACAGAATCAATTAATAAAAGAGGCAATTGAAACTCGATGCAACAATATAGATGATAACCCATCCAGGATGATAAGCAGCATCTTAGACAGACACAAGAAACCTCTAATTATCAACAAAATAATAGAAAGAGGAGAAAATGATGAACCAGTAATATACACAGAAACAGAAGAAATAATGAATAAAACTCGTAAATATTTCAGAGATATGTCAGTACAAAGGCAATGGGATAGAGTGGAGCATATAAGACAGTGGAGCGAACAATACACACCCAGAAATTACATAAATGAAGATTGGTATGAGGACCTTATGACAAATATCTCAGAAGCAGAATTACAAATAGCTATATCTGAGTGTGCAAACAACAAAGCATCAGGCCCATCAGGCATAACATACGAATTAATCAAACATACTTCCCAAAAATTTAGGAATTTAATTAGGAAACTCCTAAACAAATGCATCATTACACAAAAAATCCCCAAAGAATGGAAAAACTCATTTATATTCCCAATACCTAAAAAAGAAGCTTGGGATGGTAATTTAGCAAACACCAGACCAATAACATTGATAGAAACCACAAAAAAACTTCTATCAAAAATATTAACTAATAGGCTATCCACAATATTCTCCACATACAATATATTAAGAGGGAGTAATTTTGCTGCATTGCCAGGAGACTGTACACACACACCTCTGCATATTCTGAATAATCTGATAGAAGATTCTAAAGAGAAAAATAAAGAACTCTGGGTTTTGTTTGTGGATATATCTAAAGCCTATGACTCCATGAACATACAAATTTTGGAAAAGGCAATGAACAGAATAAGATTACCCAAAGAATTCATCAACCTGGTGGTCAATACCCTAAATAACAGGTCAAGTCAAGTAATCACATCTGTTGGAGTTACAAATAAGTTTAATATAGAAGATGGAATTGAGCAGGGGGAAGTGTGGTCCCCTATTCTCTGGAGAATTTTTTATGATCCCCTTCTGTGCAAATTAGACAAACACCCTGAACTAGGTTACAACATGTATACACAAAATTTAAGAAAACTCAACATTATGCAACCCACTCCATTATCAGTATCAATAAGCAATCTAGCTTACATGGACAATACTGCCCTCATAGCCAGCAATCAAGAAGCTATGATATCATTATATCAAATAACAAAATCCTTTTACAAAGCCACTGATATAAAAGATAATCTAAAAAAGTACCAATTGATCATTCTAAATTCTAAGAATAAAACTATAACTTTACAAAACAATCAAATAGTTAAAGCTGCTGGAATGAACGAATCAGTGAAATATCTAGGGATATTGATAAATGGCAATGGTACCTACAAAGATCAAAAGAGAAATATATTTGAATTTATGGAAAATGCAGCCAACATCATGAGGAAAAAAAAAATAACAGATATACAAATCATATATATTTATAATAGAGTGTTACTTCCAGCTGTCAAATACAAGTGGCAAACTGTAACCATGACAGAGACAGAATGCAGGAAATTATTAACCACTCTTATAAAGATTATCAAACAAAAATCATACCTGGCGAAGACCTTACCAACTACTACACTAACTAATCCTCATTTATATGATGTGAAAGACATATGGGGACTACAAGCACAACATCACATCCCTAACCTAATATACAGACTGAATAACAAAGGAATATTAGGTGTAACCACAAAAATAAGATTGACTGATCTCCAACAGGAGATGTGGGAAAATAAATGTATTTTACAAACCATACCAATAGAGGGAAAAAGTTCGATGAAAGCAAATAACATAATATACAACATAATGGTAATAGCCAAGAAATGGGGGCTCAGAATTTGTAACCATCTTCCACATCAGGAAATTAATTTAGCGTAAACTTGCATAAATCTTACAATGCCGACGTAATATTGTGTAAATCTTACAGTGCCGACGTAAGTTTTACACTTTTTTATTATTAAACTTACAATTGACACGTGTAAAATTTTTTTATATTTTCCAGATGCAGAAGACAAAAACCATGAATTCATTGGGGGTGACATAACCATTAAAGATATATTAACAGACAACAAGTTATTTAAAAAGAGTACGAAACTTCCAAGGAAATTAAATCTAATGTTTTTGAATCAGCTTGTAACAATAGATGGTAAGCATTTATTGAGATGGGACCACTGGCTGGCCAGAAATAAAACTCAATCAACTAGGAAAAAACCAAGTTGGTATGGGAAAATTGAACAAGTAGTAATGGAGAATCCAATCACTAGAGTCTTACATGAGAGATACATAATTAATGATCCAAATCTTACATACCAAAGCAACAGCAATAATAAAAATTCCTTAATAATTGCAAAACATAAAGACATTATAACATATGGTAAATATCACAGTAACAGTAATAACAGTAACAAAAACCAAATAAACAATGGGGAAATTAATTTAATACATTACCAAACATCCTGCCAAATATCACCCACCACATCTCCAACAATGGCAGACTGGGAATCGCCTCACATGCTTAAATGCACAGGATGCAAAGGCAATAGTAACAATAATCAAGAATGCATAATTAGGATTAAAAGCAAGGAATCAATAAAAATTCCTTACAGCAAGGGCAGGGATGGGGATTTAAAGCTCAGAATCACTACAGGAGAACTGGGAAAAATAAACCCTATCAGTAATAACTCACAAACATATGACAACAATAATAACACAATAAATGGTAGTGAAGAATGTATAAACTACATAAAAACACTATTCTCTTTCAACAATCAAATACAAAAGATAATAGATATATACAGAACTAATCAAACAAACAGGAACAAATATAACAATTTTGAATTCTTTACAGATGGATCAGTCAAAAAAATAGGCCACTCAGAATGCAAAATGGGAATTGGGTGGATAGTTACATCTGGTCCAGCTAAAGGCAGTACCTTTAAAGCTAACATAAATAAATGGCCAGCACAATTTAAGGCAGAATTATTAGCCATATTCACAGCTGCTCTCACTGTACCAAAAGAGAAAATAATAACAATATATACAGACAATCAAGTTATAATCAATAATTTCAAACTTCACAAAAACAAACCTAACCAAACAATAAGAAACAAGTACAAAACAAATCACGGTCCTATTTGGTTTACACTGATTAATTTCCTCAACGAACAGAGTTTAGAAATTAATTTCAATAAAGTCAAAGCTCACACAGGAATTAAACATAATGAAGTAGCTGATCAATTAGCAAGCGAAGGGTGCAACTCAGAAATCATAAACATGATAGAACAAAATTGGAAAATAGATGAATTTAACCTTTTCTGGAACCAACATCTAGTTCAAACATCATTAAGACCATTCATCAGAAAGTTAGTAGAAACCAAAAACACAATAAAATGGTTCAACCAAACAAGATTCAATAGAACCTGGTACACAAATAAACCAGGGACAATAGATTGGGAAAACACATGGCACAATATATTTAATAGCAAAAAATTTACAAAAAGTAATAGAATTTTTAATTCAGTATATGACAGAAGCTACAAAATCAAATTATTAATGAATGAACTTCCAGTGCTTGAAACACTACACAAGAGGAATCCAAAACTATACACAGACAGTATGTGCCCTAGGTGCCTAGAAAGCAAAGAAGACCAAATACACATTTTGACTTGTAATGCAAACAAAACTTCTGTGATGGAGATAATTTGCTTTGAGATACATTTAATGTTAAAAAAACTTAAAAAAAAAGGAAAATGCAGTAACAATAATAAAGAAACAATAAATTATCAAGCCCTCAAAACAAGATTATTAAATCTGCCATATTTTAATCATAACAATGAAGCATGCACACTTGTGCTGCTGAGAGGATTTATACCAAGTGAAATTCAGAACAAATAGTTGGAGGCTATAATCCACTTAATTGGAATGGGAAGGAAAATAAAACTACAACTGATAGTTTTATATTTAACATAAAGAATCGAAATGATATTAATACTGCTCAATTTAGTTATGTTAATAATAGTGATAATCAATATGCAATTATATGTGATCCTTCTTGGTTACCTCATTTTGGTAAATATGATATTTATTTTGGTCTAAGTGGTAAAGTTTATAGTGTACCATTGATTTATGATGCTATCAATATAGTAGATGATAAACAATATGACGAATTAGAGGTTTTTCAAATCATTGAAAAATGAATTTGTATTTTTTAAATGAATTTTTATATTTTTATGTTTGGTTAATTTACTAAATTCTTTTATTTATAAAGTTATTTTAATCCTTCTATCATAAATAAAATTTATGAGTAAAAAATCATCTATGTTGTTCATATTTTTTATAATGCATTGACTAATTATGACCATTGCAACAAAGCATGATGTATAATTTACTTCTGAGGGAAGGAAAATATTAATACAAATTTTAAGGTTGCAAATAATAAAATGATTTGTTAAATGGCTTTACCAAAAAAAAAAATTTTTTTAGGTTATTATAAGACTGCTCCAGTCTACATCAAAATGTTGCAGTTTTTCAATATGTGTTTAATATTTGGAAACCATATGAACCAGTGCAGAATATTTCTGTGAACATTTTCCCATATACTTTTAACACGAAAAACACATACTCCATGCATACCCTTTTCATATGTTTTGGTATGGGAAAGTTCAAGTTTCCATATGTATATTACATGTGCCTTAGTACCTATTCAGTACTTATTCATACATAATTTTTTATAGTAAGTGGTGTTAAATTCATCTTAATGCAAATTTATAAGATTCGCTGAACAAAGAATTTTCATCATTTATAATATCTTAGATAGTATATATCAATTCGAATTAAAACTTCATTGATTTGTTCGGGGCCTTAGATATATTTATAAAGATAACTTGAAATTACTGGATTTGATGATGTGCTTAAAAGAAATGGGTTTAAATTACCTTCATCAGGTTTCATCCAACAATCATTTATTTTGCTTCAAAAATATTTTGAAAATTTAATTGATGAGAAACCAGAATTATTTTAGAAACTCAATATTTTAAAAAATTGAAAGGCCAATGATTTAGATTTAAAGGATGTTCAACGGGAATTGGACTAATTGAAAGTTTGGAAGAAGGGGGGGG